TTTTTTTCTCGAGCTTGCCATCCCATTTTTTCCCCTTCTCTTCGCTCAGTTTTTTTTGTCTTTTTTTTTCGTCAATATTGTTTAATACTTTCACATTTCTTTCTTTTTTTTTTTTTGTTCGTTTTCATCTTGTTTAGAAATAACATGATATACGGCACAAATATATGAACTTAACGCACAGACTTGGGCTTGATATTATGACTTGGTGCTGTCTTGTTATGGCCTGCACGTTCGTGGTGTGCCGTCTCGTACTGTTCAGCGATGGCTTCAGCCTTATCCTTCGGTGGAACGTATTCCTCGTTGTCTTTGGAAGGCATTGTGTTTGTGTTAGTGTTAGTGTGTTTCTTTGTTTGTTTATATCTGGTTTGCTTTTCGTTGTCAGTATACGGAAAATTTATTTGTGATTTAACACATGTTTCACACATATATATACACATACGCGTGTAAACCATAACAATAAGAGAGAGAGAGAGAGAAAGAGAAAGAGAAATATATGCATATATACACACTGATCAGAGAAGTAAAAAAAAAAGGAAAGATAGAGAAAAACAACTGGTGTAATACAAAGAAAGATTTATCCGCAACTACAAAAAAAGGGGAAAAAAAAACACACATAATATATATATATATTTTTATACTATGTGTCATTATTATAATTATTGTATGTTTTCTTTGATTTGTTTCTTTTCTTCCTCATTGTCATTCTCCTCCGCTTTTATTCCTTCTTCTTGAGATTCAGACGCTTCTGATTTCCCCATGTACTTCTGCCGTCTTGTCGATATGTGTCTTGTCTGTGTGGGATCAAATCCCTCCCCTTCAGAGTCTGAGAGTGCCCACGCTGGTGTGGGCCGCAGATAACCGTCAGCCGTAATGGTGGAAGAAAGAACAGGATCAAGAATCATTCTGTTGAACTTGTCAAAGTCAATCCATGTGTGCCATTGACCATCAAGTCTAAATCTTTTCTGCGCTAATAGAATACAACCAGAGTGTTCGTGCAAGGATGCAACTTCATACTCTTTCCCGTCAAAAATACTCTCACACAGTCGTTTACTGTACGCCTTCAGTTGATCCCACGAGGGGACATTCTTTATTCGTAGTATAGTCCGCATATCTCCAGAAAAGGCAGGTGTAAGGCGTTTAAGTTCAATAAAGTTTGGTCTACCGGTTTCAAAGATGTTTCGATATTCTGGAATATTTTCTTCACTCATATTAAATCCATTAATCATAGTTAAACGAAAAACTGTTCTTTCCTTCTTTTCTCTCATATGAAGTATACTCTGGTTAAATCGGTCCCAAAAATCAGGAAAAACTGGTCGATCTAAAACCTTCATAACTTCCTTATTAGGTCCATCTACACTCAAATATAACTGTGTAACAGGTTTTAATTCCTTCAACGCATCAGGGAATTGACCATTGTTTACAAGAAATGTTGATATTCCCTTATTATGAAGGTTGTGAATAAATTTATTCACATATGGATACAAAATAGCTTCTCCAACTAAAGAAAGTGCACAATGTTTTGGATTCATAGCCTCATCTAATCTTTCTTCTGTTACCCCAGGCATACCCATCACACCATGAATAAGATTCTTATGACTAGATAACATTCCTTCCACAATAACTTCTGGATCATCAATTTGCCATTTCCACTCTGTGGCTGTAGGGTTCGTATTTAATCTCCAACAGAAAACACACTTATTCGCACAAGCCATACTTGGAGTTGCCTCCATACAACGATGCGACTCAATTCCATACATTGTCCACTTGTAACAACCGCCTCTTCCACGCATCATGGACTTTTGCCAGCGGCAGAGTTTAACTGCACTGTGACTGCCTACCAGAGTGTACATGGACCCGAGTGTCTCACGGCGTTTGTCCGACAACATGGGACGACAACTCTTCTCAATAGTTTTCATTTGTCTACCAGCAGCTAAATAATAGCGAGAAGAAAAAGAAAAGAGTACACTCGTTTAAAACACGTTATTTTGCCGTTAGTATTTATTATTTATTGCTCATGGTAGTATTAGTAGTAGTGGTATTATCTCTCTTTATCTCTCTCAAGACCCCATATATTGGGAGGCAATGTCAGAAAAAAAAAAAAAAGTCGCAGCAGAAATAACAACAATAATAATAATAACAACAATACGTACAAGAAAAAAAAAATATATTATTAATAATAATAATCAGCAAAACTTCTTATCAAAGTGCTAGCATTGATGTAGTGGCAAACCAGTCCAATGGGATAATAAGGAAATATGAAAGGAAGACTACAACCACACCGCAGAATACTGAAATTGGTAAAGCTGGAAGTGCTCGATTTTCACTCTTAAACAACAGTAAATTAACAAGTGTACCAATGAGACCTATGAGAACAGCTACAATAGACATCACCCATGGCATAAATGCGTAAGGAATTGTTTTTCCAGTCAAAAGACTAAAAAAAACAATATCACCCAATCCTAATTTAAATGGTAAACCCATCAGTGAGTTATAAAAACGAGATGCAGGAGAAATTTTGGCAGATCTTTGTGCGTTAGAATTATTCTTTTTCCCTGCATGAGCATCATCATTTGTACACATTTCTTCCTCTTCTTCTAGTTCTCTCCTATTCTTCTTGGCACGTGCCAATTCCGCCTCATCTGAAGTAGAATACACCAAAGCCGGAATTGGTTCATTTCTACTAATGGAGGTATTTATAAGTAATCGAAGTGGTCCATATGGACACAAAACAGCAAGCACATCATAAATGGAGATACATACCAGTAATGACCATGTAGTCCACTCTGGAATAAAAGTCAACAGCCATGCCATCACAATGGATGATACCACAAAATACACCTGGGCGAGAACTAGGTGTGAATAATAAAAAATTGAAATGACTCCAACAACGACAACATTCCAAAGAAGAAATACAACTGTAATAATATCATACGGTATTTGAAATCGAGTACAGATGAGATCGAGCCAAACCCACAACATGGCAAAAAGGACAAAAGTAACGGATAAAAGCATCCAGGCAAATAAGATAAATTTACAGTGACACTTGTAAAGTATCACAATAAGAAATGTAATAAGTGTAATACAGCCTACAAATATAAAGGCATTTAACACAGAAGACCCAATTTTTTCACCAACACTCTTCTGATTGTCCTCATTCATAACAACAAAGAGAGGAGACTGATGCTGTCCAGCGTACAAACCAGACAAATTAAGGACACTCCATGAAACAAATAACATAGTTACCAAGATAGGAAGTAACAATCCTACTACGCGTTTTCCAAGTAAATAAGCCACATCATCATCTTTTAGTTTTTCTTGATCTGCAGAAATATCCATGATTCTAGAGGTAATATATTCAAAGCACTAATAAAGTAAAATAGAATAAAAAAAAAAAAAAAAAAAGATTTGGCAAATTTAAATTACAATACAAGATATATATACATATACATATATATATATATATATATGACAGTACCAATAAGAAGTTTGTGGAGAGAATAACAGAGGTTGCAAATACAGAAATATAAACACTTGGAAAAAACAAACAAACAACACATACACAGAACAATACACGATATCCGTCACAATTACGCCTTTTTTTTTTTCTTTCTTAATTAACTTTTGATCGGATACCCCTCTCGTTATCAACATGTCGAAAAGGAGACCTTAATTCGGTTTGGAAATTAAGCTCTTCTTTTTTTTTTTTCTTTTACTACATTACTTCTAAACGGTTACGTTAACGCCTAAGAGCGTGATATAATAGAATATTTATCCACCTATGTTTTCTCTACTTATTTTCTTTCCCTTTCAAAAGTTTTTTTTTTTTTTTACTCTTCCTTTCTTTTTCTTTTTTCGTTGCCGTTGCTGTTCTTGTTCTGTTTGTTTATTTTGTTTGTATTTATTTCATGTTCCCCTACCGTCTCTACTAGGCTACGAGAGTGAAGGCGGCACGAGAGCGCCCGGCGGCTTATACCGGAAGTACACATAGGTTGGATAGGCCATTCCCGCAGCGAAGATGAGGGCCGTCACGGCGGCGATGCCGAGAAATGCCGTTAGACCTTCACTCTCCTCAAACGGCACCCGCACATTCATCGTGAAGAGACCGGGAATGATGCAAATGGGCATCGTCACTAACGACATCTGCGTCATCACATTATTGAGAAAATCCATCCAATGGCAATGCTGCAGTAACCGCATGGAGACACCACCAACAAGACTCATGCTGGAAAGATTGAGCACATCACGGCCTTTGCGTAAACGTTCAATAGAAAGCAACAGTCCAGAGAGTAATCTCTGATAACGACCAACAACACTGGGTTCAGCCGCAATAAAAATACGTCTCATCACTGGAAGTATAAGTTGTTGTAGTAATGACTCTTTAGCCAAAAAAGCGGCTTGTAAATAAGAGAGTCTGTGGCGCAGAGCCTCAATGCGTCGCAACAAATCCATCTGATCGCAGCGTGAAGGTTGAATTTGAAGTACCAACTCATTCACGCTATCGACATCAACAAGTATGGATGATGGTTCCTTCTGATACTCCTTCACAAAACTGCTAATGAGGGAACATACAAAAACGGAAACAGGTTCTGAATCTGAGGTTGAAGAAGATAATAATGATTCCATCTGTGCCATGAGCTCTTCCTTTCCTTTAAATGGTTTACGGTGAATTGTAAGTAAAAATTGATCAAAAGCGATTATAGAAACCATCACAGTTTCGTCTTCCTCAAGACCTATGACATTTGTACTATCCTGTTTGGCAGCAATATTAATACAAACATATCCACAAGATGGAAATATCTCAGCACGTTCAGTACTATTTTTTCTCTCCCTTACGTCTTGTTTCGTAGACGAATGAAGAGGAAAAAAAGAGAGAACCTTGTTAAGATCGGCTTCGTTATCCGTTTCAATATCGAGCCATGCAACATCAGTAGGCCCATTACTCTTGTTAACCGCATCGGTATTGTAGGATTCATCATCATCATCATATAATTCTGCCACTGATGGAACAAAGAATGTTTTGTGATGAAGTGGTGCAAATGAAAGCGTTTTAATAAAATTCTTTACTTTTTCAAATTCATTTAAATTAAACCTTTGCATAGCCTCTGCGGTGCCGTTTCGGCGTAGCAACAGCCGGGCCTCGCCAGGGCATACAGTACTATCAATATCTGTCATCTCATCAACTTTCAACGTACGAACGACACCCCAAAACAGAAAGAAGGGGGAGGGGAAAAAAAAACATAAAAAGAAAACAATAATAAGGATAATATTATTATATTATTATCCCTTTCTTTTTAATTAAAAAAAAAGGTATACATCACACAAATTCAACACAAATATAGCAGTAAAAGTATATATATATATATATATATATATACTTCTGTGCGCAGAAGGATAAAATAATAATAACTCTCAATGATTCAAAAAGAAGCATTCAAAACTCAAACACATACTTTCTCATCTCCAATATCTAATTACAACCACTACCTTTCATACGAATACAATTTCGAGTGGAAGGCACTGAAGTTTTTTTTGCGGTTTCTATGTGCAGTGGTCCCACAAGTTGGGTCCCACGATACCAGGCATCACCCTCCCAAAACTCTCGACTTTCTTTTGTGAATTTCGGATGACTCAAGATATCCTCTCTATAAATGACTGCTCTCTCCGCACGGGATAGTGTCGCAAGGTATGGATTACTGATTCCTTTTTTGTTACGTTTCTTCTCTAATGCGCGCACCGTCTGTGGGTCACTCCTCTTTGATTGAGAAGCTTTTGTGGCGTTTGGGTCGTCTATTTTTAAATCCCAGCAGAGTGCGGTTACAATCTCTGGGATCCCTGTGGATTTGTCTAATCTCTGATGGTAGTAGTTAAGTTTTCTTGTATCTATTCGATCTTGAAACCTGTGGTTGTCCACTCCACGTAAGTGTTTGGCGGATCTCGCCTCCTCCGCAAGTGAAGAGGTGCCGTGCCAAAAAGGCAAAAAGTCAGCGTCGCCGACACGTTCATTTGATGCCCGCTTTTTTGCAAACTCGACGGATTTCTGTGTTTTGGGGGTTTCAAAAGGCGGGGGATTGCCCTTATAGTCTATCTTACTGCGCTGAATCAACCAGTGCAGACGACTTAATGAGATATTCTCTTTTTCTTTTTGTTTCTCAGCATCATTCGACATGCGACTAGTTGATTGCTTTTTTTTTTTTTTTTTTGTTTTGTTTTGTTTTGTTTTAAGGAAAAGAGAGAAACAACAAGAACAAAAAAAAAGAACATGCAAAAAACAAAAAAAATTAAGAATATTTCTTTTCCCCCTTGTAGTCATTTGTTTATCCCACACATACCAACACAGAAAAAAAAAAAAATAGAGATATACACATACGTACGATCACACAAAGACATCCCTTCCCACCCCTGTTCCTTTTTTTTTTTTGTTTTGATTCTTCTGAGAAAATAACGTAAGCAACACTCTTCTTTAGACATACTGCTAAAAACAGTGTCCGCCAATGACAAATTAGGCATCTTCAATTTCATTATAGCAATTATCACAGACCCTTTCGGGTTCAGTAAATGTAGATTCTGGTATCAAGCATGTCTTGGATGAACAAGCATGGCAGAATACGTTCCCACACATTCGGCAGTGATGTCTTCTTCTCCAAAACCTAAAAGCAGATCCACAATTTTTACAATTGTTAACCGTTGAATCATCCACCCATTCTGTTTTCCTGATCCAAAATTGTTCTACATTAGTTGTTGTAAGAGCCTCAAAGTCAATACCAGCAAAAAAAGGATGCTTATGTACCTCATCTCTACTAGGTCGTTTTTTGGGATTTTTTTCGAGAAGTTTTGATATGAGATCTTTAGCGTCATTACACATATCCTCAGGATATTGAGGTTCTTCTTCAAGAATACTCTTTATAAGTAGATATTCTGTGGGTTCCTCAAAAGGTCGCTTTCCCACCAACATATGATATAATACACAACCACACGCCCAATAATCAGATGCCGTGCAAGTATAGTTATCTTGCAACAGTTCAGGAGACATATAATGAGTTGTTCCACAAAATGTTTGGGCCCTACCCTTATTACTTTGTTCTCCTTCTGGACGTTCATCTACAGACTGACAAACCACTGCAGTACCAAAATCAATAAGCTTTATGTGTTTATTACTCATAAGCATAATATTTTCTGGTTTAATATCTCGATGGAGAATTGTAATAGGTCTAAGAGGAGCATTGGGAACAATTGGAAGAGATTGCTTAGGTGCATGATGCAAATACCAGACGGCGGAAAAAAGTTCTGCTAAAACATAACGTGCCGCATCAAGAGGAATTTTTTGACGCAACTTTATTGCGTGAAGTAATTCACCTCCATCACATAATTCGGTAACGTACATAAGGTCATCAGATGTTTGCATAGAAGCAAGAAAACGAATAATATTGGGGTGATTACACATCAAAAGCATACGTGTTTCTCTTCGTGCTACTTCAGCCATACGATTCCTTTCTTCGTCTGATGGTGCAGTAAGAATTTGTCGCTTTGAAATAAGTTTCACAGCATACCGCACACCAGTTGGAATATAACGTGCAACCAATACTTTACTAAAAGCACCGGTTCCCAACGTTCTCTCAAACTCAAAATCATCTGGCACCATTCGAGTGGTCGACATGATTGCGGTGTTCTGCTTTTAATTGAGTACACCACACACCCAACACGAAAGGGATATATTTGTATTTCACAATTCTTTTTTTTTTTTTTAAAAAAAAACTGAATATATCTCTCCTAAGAAGAGAATATACAAAATATATAAAAATATACGAATATCCTTCCTACTTTGGTTAAACCCTGCAAAACAAATAAACAGAAAACAAACAAACAAATAATATTCTATGAAGTTCCAAAAAAATTCCAAACAATTGTTCTACGTCTCAAAACAGAAAAAAAAAAGAAGGATAAACACTAAATTCTCTATTCTGTCGTAAGAATCACCCGGCAGAACTTAGAAAGTGGGAGATTCCAAGGCCCCTTTCTCTCCAGACCCTTCCGCAAGGAGGGACCCCAAAGGGATGGATAAGACAGAACGTAAAAAAAAAAAAAACCTCAATCCTTTCTAATCGTTCTGACAGAGGCTCTTTCTGACCACAACAAAACCGAAGGAAAAAAAAAGTTTACAAAACCCAGAAAAGACTGGACTCTCGTAGACCAAATCCGGATACATTTTCTTTTCACAAGCTTCTATCCTATACTATTTCAAGAATGAAAATAGGAAAAAAAAAGCAAAGGAAGAGACAGTACAAGAAGGAAAATCACAACAAAACAAAAATAAAGAAAGCGAAGAGAAATCTGGTTGAGAGACAAACAAACACTTTTTTTTTTTTCTCTTGGAGAAAGGAAGAGAAAATTTTTTTGTATCCTCAAGAGTCTATCAAAGGAAAATAAAAGAAACAGAACATCCCAATAAAAGAGGGAAAGTCTAGCAAAAAAGAAAAAAAACACACACACACACACAGAAATAATTTCTATACTATTTTATCTAATCTGTTTCTGTCACTTGTTGGCGACGTTTACACTCTTTTCTAGGCACAACTCCTGGTAATTCTCTCTCATCTGTTGATCGTCTTCCTGCGGATGTATCTCCGCTACTTCGTGATGCTGGTTCAGCCTCTTCTTCACATCCATTTGAGGCAACGGAACGGACATCATTATCGCAGCCATCCACACATCGGGAGTCCGCTTGCATTCGCGCCTCCCACTCTTCAATTGCACCCTTATCACGTCGTTCACTCCCAGTACGTTGTCCAACTTTCTTAGCTTTACTAGCAATATTCTTAAAGTAATCTAACACCACCTCATCTCGCAACCATTGCTTATATTGCTGATAACATGTTTCAGAAGTTATTTTTTTAATGGGTCGCTCAGTTGAATAATTAAGTTCACCAAGACAAAATGCCAAATTTCTTGCCATTTGACGTTTCTTCTTTCCACGTTCAGAATAAGATTCAAAACGTTGACAAAGTCGCTCTATAAGCGATTCCGTGGGTTTATCACCTTCAACACGTTCAAGCAACGAACGCATAGCCAATTGAAACTTTTCTGAAGGTACAGATTGACTTAATTGAGCAACTAACGGAGGAATTAAATTTCCCGTTTTCTCTTTTTCTTTCAAAGCCAAATTTTGAACAAATGTCATGGCATTATTGGCAATAGATTCATCTGGATCTGCAACAAGTTTGATTATTGTATATAAATGATCTCGGATACGAAGCATTTCTCCAAGTACCAAATGTGAACACACCTGAATAGTTACGGCACGAACTCTTAAATCATCATCGTTTAAAAGCTTAAAAAATCCAGTTGTAGGAAGTTTTAAATATGGACCAAGCAAATTTGGATGTACACAAGCCAAATCACCCAAGGCAATAACTGTATTTGTTTTTACAACCCAAGATTCACGTTTATCAGATACAATATTAAAGAGAAGATCAAGATTTTTTTCACAAAAAGTATCACTTACAACCATTAATTCAGAAAGAGCCATAACTGCAGAAACTCTTTCTAAAATACCATTAGTAAAATCTTCTGCTTTTCGCTGACATGTTAAAACAACATCTTTGGAAAAACGATGCCATATAGAGCCTTCTGTCATAATAGCATGCTTACGTCGTTGAGCTAATTCTTGAATAGCATGTCTCTTATATTCGTGAGATCCAAGACCAAGTTCTTTATGCATAGTATCTGCATCTCCATTATTATTTAAGTCATTTGTTTGTCTTCTTGACATCGCTTCTGAATCAAGTTTTTTTAGTTGTAATCGTTCAGCGGAGTCTATAGCAACAAGTTGCTTTAATGCAGTTCGTCCCAATATAAAGAATAGTTGTGTTAATGCATTAGGATCATTCTCAATTCTTTTTCCGATGTAATCCAATACATAAGTATAAATTAAAGCAGGAACTTCACAAAGAGCATGAATAACATTGATTGATGAATCTGCAAGAATTAACCAAGAATTTATTGCAGTTGTTCGTCTACACAAATGAAATACAAGTTGTTCTAGTATAATATTTTCACTTGGTAAAAGTTTAGCTGATATAGGATGAAACTGTGGATCTTGACATTCACTTTCAAGACTTTTTAAACAATATGCTAAAAGAACATTATCTTTTACAGCATCTAAACGTAAAAATTCTACAACGTTTTCTTTTCTACTACGAAGTTCTCTCCAATCATGCTTACATAAAAGACTAAAAAGTCGCATAGCAGTACGTCTATCAGTTAATGAAGCGTTATGATCAAGTGTTCCATCTGCAATTCCCCAAACAGCATCCATAAATTGACCTGATATAATACGTGAGAGTGATGGATTAGTTTTTATAAGACTAAAAATTCGATCCACTGCACTAATATCACCTTCTGTTGCACCACGTAAAAAAGCAATTAGCTTTTGAGCACTTGCTGTATTTTTCATTAATGATGATGATGATGATCTTGTGAATGCATTAAAAACAACTTCTACAAAAGCATCACGTACGGCACATTGAATTTTAATTTCTCCTTCATATATCATAACCAAAACACGAAGAAAAGCTTTTTCTGAACCCTCAATTCGGTACTCATTGCATGCAACGATTAATTTTATTGCTTCTATAGTATCCCGTTCAGTACGACTATCTAGTAATGTTGTAGCATGTGTCAATGCTTTATTCATTAATTCAACAAACTCTAGTGCTTTTTCATAAAAAATAACTCGATTCAATGCTGAACTTTGTTCTTCTGACAAAGGCAAACGCACTGTTGTTTCTTCTTCTTTCCCTTGAAGTAAATCATTTGTTTGAGTTTCAGTAGGTCGAGAAGTATTTTTTAATTCATCTAAACATGTTTTATATGTTTCTTCAGAATCAAAAAATTTTAAAGCTGCGGTTGATGCTTCTTCAAATTTTTCTTTTATTAAAGAGCAATTTAAAACATGTCCAAACCAATTTTTGCGTAAAATTGATGCAATAACTTGAAGAGCTGAATCTCTTACAAGGTAATTTCGATCTTCAAGTCTTCCTACCACAGCATTTGTTATAGCAAGATGAAAACGTTTAGGAACACCTCGAGCATCTACTAACCTTTCCCACATATGAACTGTATGATTTCGAACAAATGGATTACAATCCATTATACGAAATAACATTTCATTAAGGTATTTATCTTTTAGTTCTTCTTCACCTTCTGTACTGCGAGTAGGACCAGTATATCGTTGAATTATCATTTCTGCTATGCATGTTATTACAGATTTACGTACCTCATAGCTTTCACTATTAATACTTTGAATAATAACATCTGACATTCGTATAGTGACACTAACACACTTTCGCGCAACTTCACTAAAAAATAATGCGGTATTTTTTGCAGCTATAGCATCATTAGACACATCATGAAGTGAAGCCGCAGCCATTCCCTCAATAAGAGCTGTTATAATTTTATTAGAAGCGTCACCCATTATATCTTCACTTTCTGCTTCTGAAACAAAACGAATAAGAAATTGAGCTGCAGATTCGGTTTTTAACGCTAGTTCAATCATTGGTGAAACAAAATCAGATGGTTCAACTGTTTCTCTGTTAACAATATGAGCAGATACTTTTAATAATAAAACGGCAATAGCACCTGAAACTGATTGAGCATCATTTTGTACGTTAGCTTTTTGAGTTATCATATGAAGTAGCATTCGAAGCATAAGATTTAGCATAGATTCTTCTATATTACCTGCCCATAAAGTAATTAAATCATGTGAACACACATCTATTAATGCAGTAAGTGCTAGTTCACGTCCATCTTGATCTACACCACTACTATCTTCACCTATACCACTTTCCTGTTCGCTTCTCGCTCGTCTTCGTTTGCGTATACTACGTTGTGAAGAAGAAGAAATATTTTCATCATCTTCAAGAGCTGGTGCACAAGATAATAGTACATTGCATAAAATAAAAACGTACATTTTAACAGTAGAACGTAAACAAAGTACAAGTCCATCGTTAATTCCACCATCTGCTTTTTTTCTAAAGTAGGTTACACAAACTTGAAGAAGTTTTTTTAAACGTTCAGAAACTTCATGACAAATTTTATGTCTTGCTTGCTTTGTAACAAGATGAGTTGTTTCACTATTTTCAAGGGCCTTAATATATGAAAAAAGCACCGCGAAAAGTTCTGGTTTAGAAAAAAGAGCTGTGGGTGATTTTTCTCTATGCAGACAATCAAAAAGTCGAGTAAGATCGTCAAGTTGTTGTCTAGGATGAACATCAAATTCACACGATTCCGTAATATGATATTGATTTAGTCCAATTTTTTCAATATCCTCTAAATCTCGAGCTCGAGAAGGAACAAAAAACTCAAGCATATCATTCATTTCTTCTATTATGAATGATTTCCCTATATATTTTTTTCTTTTCCTTTGCTTCTGTTGGTCAACTCCTGGAAAGAGCTAAAAAAAAAAAAAGAAAAAAAAGAAAAAAGAAAATAAAATAATAATAATAATAATAATAATAATAATAATAATAATAAAAACAAAGAAATAAGAAGGGACAGAAACCCTTTTTCTTCACGATGTCACAACAGTAAAAATAAAATATTTTTGAGGAAATCACCTCACCCCACCCCCAAAAAAAGAAAGAAAAGAAAAAAAACTGATTCCAAAGGCAGAAAAAAAAAAAAACGAAAAAAAAAAAAATAAATAGAAAACGAAAACGTACAAAAACAAATGGCAAAAACAAAACAAAAAAAAAAAAAAAAAACGCTTGCAAATAAACAATTATAAGCACAAAAACAAAAAAACAGAGGTAAATATATATCAATTATCACAACTACTTCATATTTTTAATCCCAGTTCGTGACCCTGTAATATGGCCCGCTTCGCATCTAACTCATTAGCTTTAAAACAACCACCAATCAAATGATATTCAACACCTTTAAGTCCTTCAAGAATTCTTCGATCAGATTGTTGACCATGACAAAAAACAATTGAATCAACATCTAATTCATGGAGTTTACCATCGATGCTATACAGTAGAGTTTTTCCATCAAATGATTCATAGTTTACGCCACATATTTGTCTTACATTATGAGAACGAAGTTCAAGACGATGAATCCAACCAGTAGTAGCACCCAATCGGGCTCCCATTTTGCCCTTACTCCGTTGAAACATGGTAACATTGCGCTTCGGATTGCCAATATTTGACTTTTTTAAGCCTCCTGGAACGATAAAATCAAGATCTACTCCCCATTGTTTTGCAAATTCACTTGGATTTTCTTTACAATACTTGGAATAAATCATTTTATTATGTTCTTCTACAAGAAAATAAGCCACATCAAAACCAATTCCACCTCCTCCAATTACAGCAACGTTCTCACCTACATCAATCTTCCCAGATAAGACATCTAGGTAAGAAAAAACATTTTTTAAACCCTCTACACCTTTAATAACAGAATTATTAATTTGCCTAGGAAGACAACCAGTAGCAATAATAATTTCATCATATCTTTCTTTTTTCAATAATGCACCATCCGCTTTTGTTCCAAGACGAATAGTAACATTTTTAAAGGATGCCAAGGAATTTCTCCAGTAAAGAATACTACTCATATATTCACCTTTTCCTGGAATTTCTTTTGCCAGATTAAATTGACCACCAAGAGAATTTTCCTTTTCATATAATGTTACATTATGACCTCTTTCCGCCAAAACCAAAGCACAAGAAGCACCACTTGGACCACCTCCAACAATAGCAATTCTTTTTTTTTCTTTTGCAGGAAGAACTCTTCGCTCTTTTTCATGACAAGCTCTTGGGTTTACAAGACAAGATGATAACCTACCTTTAAAAGTATGATCCAAGCAAGCCTGATTACATCCAATACAAATATTAATTTTATCAACATTACCTTCAATGGTTTTTTTAACAAAATAAGGGTCACTCAAAAAAGGACGTGCCATCGCCACAAGATCGGCATCTTCTCGAAGAACTTGTTCAATAACATCAGGATGATTAATACGATTAACTGCTATGAGAGGTACTTTAATACCTTTCTCTCTTAGATATTTTCGGCAAGCAGAAGTTGTCCAAGTAAAACCAGCACGAGGAACAGAAGTGGCAATTGTAGGTATCCTTGCTTCATGCCAACCAATACCAGTATTAATAATATCTGCTCCAGATTTAGCTACTTCTTCAGCAAAGGTCCAAGTTTCTTTTTGAGTTGATCCATTAGGAATTAAATCAAGCATAGAAACACGAAATATAACTATAAATTCCTTTCCCACAGCTGCACGAACAGCTTTTAAAACTTCTAGAGGAAATCGAATTCGATTTTCAAATGATCCACCATATTCATCTCTTCTCTTGTTCGTATGCTTCACTATAAATTGATTAAGCAAATATCCCTCTGAACCCATAATTTCAACTCCATCAAATCCAGCATTTTTAGCAAAGACGGCGGCCCTTGCAAAATCTCTTATAGTTTTTCTTATCCAAAGTTTTGGTAATGCAATTGGACGTAAATAATAATCTTTAAAAGGCCATATAGGGCTTGGTACAGAAGAAGGAGCCACACACAACGGACTATAGGCATATCGTCCAGAATGTAACAGCTGCATCACTATTTTCCCTCCTTCCCTGTGCACAGTATCAGTAACCGGTTTATACTCCAGTGGATCGGAATGGGAAGATATACTGGGTGCAAAAGGAGTAAGTTTCCCTTCAAAATTAGGCGAAAATCCACCAGTAACAATTAAAGCACATCCTCCTTTCGCTCTTTCACCATAAAAATCACACATCCTCTGTATTTTTTCACCCTTTACATCCTCCAAACCAGTATGCATACTGCCCATAATAACACGATTTCTTAACGTTGTAAAACCGAGATTAAGGGGCTGAAGCATTCTTTCATACGGGCGAGACATTTTTTAGTGGTAGAATCGTTGGTTACCTTATCCAAATAAACACGAAAAAAAAAGAGAATTAAAAAAAAAAATTCCCTCAAAATTACAATTAAAAAAAATAACAAATGGATCACCCAGCAAAAAAAAGGGTAAATAAAACCAATACAATTACCGGGTAAAAACCCGAAAACGGCACATATGTATTTTTTTTTTTTTTTCACTTTGTACCACAAAAAAAAAAGAAAAAAAAAACACTAACGAGTGAACGCCACCCGGGAAAAATCAAATAACACACAAACGCCAATTAAAACAAACGGGAAAAAAAAAGCGGGAATGTGGGGAAGAAAAACTTCAAACAACTCCCATCTCACAACAATAAAACCGCAGCCCGCCCCCGCACAGCACCCAACAGAAAAACCAATCACCAGCAAAAAGCAATCCCCAAACCCAGAAAAGGCGCGCCACCCCACGCGGCGACCGCCCGCCCACCACCTCGACCGAGGATGGCGCCGGGGGAGCGGCACGCCCTTTTTCTCGTTTTTGGGGGCGGCCGCCCCGGTTTCTTTTCATTCCCCGGCCCGCGGCGCGTTCTGAGGAAAATCCTTTTTCTCGTGTGGGATTGGGTTCCGGGCTGGGACTTTGTTTTTCTTCTTTCTTTCTTTTCCTTCCCCTTGGCGGTGCAACGAAGCTTCTGGTAAGTGGAACTGTATACGCTGCTGCTGCTGCATGTGCGCCGCCGTACCCGCAGAACTCGCACAACTCTGTTGTCTTCCTCGACACGGCCGTGCAGGAAGGCCGCACGTGGTTCGGCACCTCGTCGACAGAGCCTATTGGCCGTGTCGAAGTGGAACTCTTCGACGACACAGTGCCCATTAC